GTCCTGCACTACTGCCCAATCCCACTTCATGCCTCACCACTGGTACTGAACGGCTATCACCAAGCTCTCCACCAGCCACATCCATGCCATCTGCCCTTGGCCCTCAAGAAGCTGGCTGCCTCCAACAGGGGCTTTACTCAAATGAAGGAACCTGGCTCTCCCGCCGTTCCTACACATTCAACTTTCCCCGCTTCAGTTCTGTCCCTAACGTATATTGGGTCAAATACCAACACCATACAGAGCAAGCCGAGACTTGTTTCTCTGTCAGCATCTCTACCTTCTCTAAATAGTAACTCCTTTAGTACAGTATTTGACATTCTGCAGGTCTAGAGAAAGCAATACCAACAAGCCCCTCGCACAAAACTAATAAAGTGTGTAGAGCCCATCCCAGACCTAGAGAATGACAATCTGTACTTTAATATCGACAGGTCATTCTCATCTATATTTTAGTTCACATACTGAAAGTATCTGAGCCACCAAATGATTTTGTCACCATTCATTGGTACAGCTCAGAATGAAACAGACCAGGAAGCAGAGGACTACAGATACTGGAAATGTTGAATAATAGGTGGCTAGTTATAATAACACTCACCTGTAATCCCAGCTACTTGGGAAGCTGAGGCAGGCTGATAGCAAAGCTTAAGACCAGACTAGGTAACTTAGTAAAAATGTCCCATTTTCTTAAAAATAAAAGAGAATTGGGCTGGTGAGATGGCTCAGTGGTCTAAAGCACCTACTTAGAACAAGTTAAGCTAAGCAAAACACAAGGACTGCGGTTCAATCCCCCAGCACCACATGCCAGCCAGCGCCGCCCCCTGGTGGGCTGAGCTGGCCACACATGTAAAATAAATGAATAAATAAATAATTAAAAAAAATTTTTTTAAAAAAATAAGAGAATTTAAACTGGGTGTGATGACACATGCCTGTAATCCCAGAACTGGGGGGCCAAGGCAAGAGGATCACTGCAAATTCAAGACCAGCCTGGGCTACAGAGTGAGTTCAAGTCCAACCTGGACTACATAGCAAGACCCTGTCTCAGTAGGGCGGGGGATATAGCTCAGTGGCACAAGCGCCTGCCTGGCAAACACAAAGTCCTGAATTCAATTCCTAGTACAAAAAAGACCCTGTCTCTAAATAAATAGGATTTACAGGCATATGTGGTAGTATAGGCCTGTAATCTCAGCACTCAGGAGGCTGAGGCAGGAGGATCACTGTTGGGCTATAAAGTCAGTTCAGAAAGACAAGAAAGCAAGCCAGCCAGCCGGCCAGGCTTAGGTTACAGCCTAGTACCTCCTGGGTTCAGTCTCCAGTAGTGACTTAGCAAGGCCCTGTGTCAAAATTTAAAAAAACAATTTTTCAAAAAGGGTTGAATGGGGCTGGTGAGATGGCTCAGTGGTCTAAAGCACCTTAGAACAAACTAAGCCAAGCAAAGCACAGAGACCGCGGTTCAATCCCCCAGCACCACATGCCAGCCAGCCCTGCCCTCTGGTGGGCTGAGCTGGCCACACACACACACACACACACTAAATAAATAAATAAATATAAATTAAAAAAAAAAAAAAAAGGGTTGAAAATGAAATTCAGTGCAAAGGCCCTAGGTTTAATTCCTAGTAAAAGAAAAATCAGTAGGCTTTTTTTTTTTTTTAATTTTATTTATTTATTTATTTATGTGTGTGTGTGTGGCCAGCTCAGCCCACCAGGGGGCGGGGCTGGCTGGCATGTGGTACTGGGGGATTGAACCGTGGTCCCTGGGTTTTGCTAAGCTTGTTCCAAATAGGTGCCTTAGACCACTGAGCCATCTCACCAGCCCAATCAGTAGGCTCTTGTACCCTCTCAATTGGTCTTTTTTTTTTTTTTTCTTTTTCTATTTATTTATTTATTGGTGGAACTGGGGATTGAACTCAGGCCCTTGAACTTGCCAGGAAGTGCTTATTCCACTGAACCATCTCCCTGGCTCCTTTTTCGGCATTTTTTTAGTAAGGGTCTACAGGGTCTCACTATGTACATCAGACCCGTGGTGACCCGCCTGTGTTAAGCCTCCCAAGAGCTGGAATTATAGGCGCGTACCACCACGCCCAGTCTCAAAGGTCCTCTCAGCACACCCCAGGGGCGGGGCCTGCACTGCAGGCCAGGGATGGAACCTGGCAGCTGTGTCTGCCTAAGCAGGGCTTTAATCTGCTGAGCTATTTGGCTGGCCCTCTCAATTGGTCTTAATGGGACAAGGATCAACATTGATTCAGAAGTCAGGCTGACATTTTTTTTTCCCCCCCGCGGAACTGGGGATTGAACTCAGATCCTTGCGCTTGGGAAGGGATTGAACCGCGGTCCCTGTGCTTTGCTAAACTTGTTCTAAGTAGGTGCTTTAGACCACTGAGCCATCTCACCAACCCCCCCACACACTTTTTTTTAAAGGAGTCTTTATTTTTTTATCTTTGGCAGAACTGGGGATTGAACTCAGGCCCTTGCGCTTGCCAGGGACGCACTTATTCCACTGAGCCATCTCCCTGGCCCCAGGTTGACATTTAAATGCAAACATTTTTATTGACAGTTTAGGGCTTAAACAATTCCACAGGGGGAAAAAAAAAAAAAACACCTGTGTAAGACAATGGCGTGCAAAATCACAGCGGAAAGACTAATACACTTCATCCTGTTCCTCTCCAACTTCATCTTCTTCTGTCCCACTTTCCTCATAATTTTTCCCAGGGCAGCCATGTCCTCTCAGGCCTCAGAAAACTCCTCTTCCTCCATCCCCTCACCCACCTACCAGTAAAGAGGTACACTTGATGTACATCATATCAAACTTGTGGCCCAGGCAAGCCCAGGTGCTATGGTTTGTGTCTAGGTGCACCCCAAAGCCTCATGCATTCATGAGGTGGCTTCTAGAGTTTGTGATTAATTCATGATCCAATGCTGGGATTATGGGTGTGAGTGCTACACCTGGCCTGGGGCAGGCGGCCTGAACACATGTGATGGAGAGGCTTGCTCTCTGCCTCTGTTGCCACTGCCCCCATTTGCTCTCACTGTTTTGCTCTTTTCCACCACCATGAACTGCTGCCCTCTTCCATGTGCCACTCTGCCTTGGAGCCAGCTGAGTATGGACTGAAACCTCCACAAACTAAATAAACCTTTCCTTTCTTAAGTTTGGATGTCAGGTACTTTGTCCCAGCAACCGGAGAATAATAAGCAAGACAGAATTTTGTACCAGAGAAGGGGGGTCACTGCTGTGACTACCAGACCAGGTGGTTCAAGAGCCTTTGGGAATGAGTGGATTATGGGAAGAGACAGGAAAGGTTTGGAGATGTTATCTGAAAGAAAAGCGCTGGAACTCCTTCCACCGTTCTGTATGGGAGCTCAGAGATGACAGAAATCCTGCTGGTAAAGACCAAGCTTGGGGGGTCTCTGTTAGGAAGGACTGCACTGGTTGTTGGACTCCAGACACCGTGTTATGGCTTGGCACAAAGTTTATCTGCATTTTGCTTATGTCAGGGACTTGGTCTGATGCTGAGATTAAGGGTGGTAGACTAATTAATGACAGAAGAAATTTCAAGGTAGTAGGATGTTAAGGCAGTGGCATGGCTAAAATTGGGGACTTTTACTTATTTTTTTTTGGGGGGGGCTTTTAGATTTATGTTGAGAATCAAGAACAAAGAACCCAGCAGGATGATTTAAAATGTTGTACATTTGGCCAAAAAGGAAGTGCCAATAAAGCTGTGGATTGCAAAGATAGAGCAGAGGACTCCACCGTCAAGGAGAAACAGAAAAGATAGCCAGAGGGCCTCACAAGCAGCAGCAAATCTCTAGCCCTTGCAGCCTCAAAGCAAAAGTGAAAGACTGCTTTGAGGAGAAAGCCACAGTGTCACGTTCCAGAATGGCACTGCACACCACACCAGTTCCAGAATGGTGGTGGTACACAGAATTTGTTCCTCACAATCAGGTTCAGGGTGCTCAGCGCTCCAGGCACTCTCACCACCACAGCCAAGAGAGAAAGCTTGAGTACTGCTCCAGCTGGCAAGTGACATGTGGCATTGGTTTTAGGCCGATGCAGAATGCGAGTTCTGAGGTTAAAAAGGCTTCCACCTAGATTTCAGAAGGCCTGGGAGGGCAGTGTGTGAAGCTGTGAGAAGCCTAAGGTACAATGGAGACCTCAGAAGTTTGGAGAAGCCAGTAATGTGGATCATCAAAGAAAAGCTGCAAGAAGGGAGCAAAGCAGGCCTAAGAGAAAAGTCACAGGAGCTGTAATCCCCAGAGGTGCCAGGAAGGCACAGCCAGGTAAGGCCTTTGGAGCTTTTATCGCAGATTGCTTCAGATATTCCACATGAAACTGCAGGACTTATTTGCCCTTCTGGACTTTGGACTTAATTTGGTCTGAATGCTTTATATCCTCGTTTGTACCTTTTAGAATGGTAATGTCTTGCTTGTTGTCATTAAATGTTGGAAGTGTTTAACTTTTCATTTGTACAGGGATTCACAGCTAAGAGTTTGCCTTAGATCTCAGAGACTTGAACTTTTCAGCAATGCTAAAACTGTTAGGACTGGGGCCAGGGAGATGGCTCAGTGGGATAAGCGCTTCTCTGGTAAGTGCAAGGGCCTGAGTTCAATCCTCAGTTCCCCACCCCCCAAAAAAAAAACCTGTTAGGACTTTGGCAACCCTTAGAGATAGACTACATGCCTTTTGAATAAAGGGATATGCATGAGTGTTTGGGTGTTTGGAGAGCCAGGGGAAGAATACTGTGTTTTCTGTTTAGATCCCCCTCCCTATAGCCTCATGCAGTCATGGGGTGGGCTTCTGGAGTTTGTGATTAATTCATGATCCAATGCTGGGATTATGTGTGTGAGTGTTATACCTGGCCTGGGGCAGAGAGCCTGAAAGCAGCCTCTTGCTGCTTTTGCTATTTTCTGCCACCATAAACTGCTGCCCTCTGCCATATGCCACCCTGCCTTAGAGTCAGCTAAGTATGGACTGAAACAAACTGAGCTAAATAAAATTTTCCTTCCTTAATTCTGAGTGTTAGGAGTATTTTGTCCCAGCAATGAGAGAAAAGTAAACAAGACGCCAGGCCTTGGCAATGACTGTGGTGTTGCTCAGCATGCACACAGCCCGCTGTACCTTAGACAGGTCTCCACCAGGCACCACAGTGGGAGGCTGGTAATTAATGCCCACCTTGAAGCCAGTGGGACCCCAGTCCACAAACTGGATGCTGCGCTTGGTCTTGATGGTGGCAATGGCAGCATTGACATCTTTGGGGACCACATCACCACGGTACAACAGGCAGCAAGCCATGTATTTACCATGGCGAGGGTCACATTTCACCATCTGGTTGGCTGGCTCAAAGCAGGCATTGGTGATCTCTGCTACAGCAAGCTGTTCATGGTAGGCTTTCTCAGCAGAGATGACGGGGGCATATGTGGCCAGAGGGAAGTGGATACGGGGATAGGGCACCAGGTTGGTCTGGAATTCTGTCAGATCCACATTCAGGGCTCCATCAAATCTGAGGGAAGCAGTGATGGAAGACACAATTTGACCTATCAACCTATTCAGGTTAGTGTAGGTGGGGCGCTCAATATCGAGGTTTCTGTGACAGATGTCATAGATGGCCTCATTGTCTACCATGAAGGCACAATCAGAGTGCTCCAGGGTGGTGTGGGTGGTGAGGATGGAGTTGTAGGGCTCTACTACAGCTGTGGAGACCTGGGGGGCTGGGTAAATGGAGAATTCGAGCTTGGACTTCTTGCCGTAGTCAACGGAGAGACGTTCCATCAGCAGGGAGGTGAAGCCAGAGCCAGTGCCCCCGCCAAAGCTGTGGAAAACCAGGAAGCCCTGCAGACCTGTGTACTGGTCAGCCTGTTAAAGAACAGTTAATTTTAGTGTTGAGATACCTGGTTAAAGCTACAGTAGACGTCTAATAAATCTATGATTTAAAAACTTTTCAATAGAATTAAGAAAGCAATTATAAGAGAGTCTAAGCACTAAGTGATTCTGAAAACTTTCCACATCAACACCTGGAAACAGGGGGCTTCTACTTAAAAGGCTATTTTTTTTGTTTGAAAAAAAAAGCTATTTTTAAAAAATAACTGGTCTTTATTTTATTGTATCATATTGTATTTAGTACAGGGTCTACAAGTTCTATAATGTCTCACTGTATAGATCAGACTTGTAGTGATTCTCTTGTTTTCAGCCTCCCAAGTACTGGGATTATAGGCACACCACCACGCCCAATCTCAATGGACATCTCAGCACACCCCAGGGGCGAGGCCAACATGGCAGGGCAGGGATCAAACCCCACCTGCTGTGCTCTGCCTAAGCAGGCACTTTTAGTCTGCTGAGCTATCTGGCCTGCCCATTAAAAGGCTACTTTAAAAATTAACTTTCATTTTCTGGTGCTCTTGCTATGGGTGCAACAAGGGCACCAGGGCAATGCAAAAGCTGCCCTTGTGCAGTGCAGGTTATTGAGAATTAAAGGTAATAAATGAAAAAAAGACACAAGGAAAAAAAAATGTCACAGGACTGTCCTGCTACAATGCTGTATATGGTTAGATTTCTAAATTTCTGGGTAAAAACATGTAATTGTTTATTCATATTCTTTAAATATTTTTCATTTTTAAATTTTTTTCTCCATATTCTGTAGGGACTTAAAGTTTAACATACCAGTACTTGATGGAAAATACCTGTTCCATGTTATGCCTAAGATGTTCAATATTCAGACAAATAGTGAGGTTAAACCCAACTGCATATGTTGTAGGGTAATAATAAGCTTCTCTTCTGGAGGGTTAACAACCTAAGTTTGCAAACCAAAAATTAGAGAAATGGAAGGGCTTCAAGGACAGCCAACATTTTGGCCCTAGCCTTTCAAGGTCAGTGAAGACTCAGGACATAGGAGAACCTATACTGTAACATCACGTAACTCAGTTGTGTCCCAAATTTTCTGATCAAGGAGATTATGGCGCCACAGAGCAATGTGGTTGATGACATAGTGTGCCTAAGGAGAGTCACCTGGAGAGAAAACATTCTCTCAGGCTTTCACAGACCGCAAATTGGTCAAGCAATGGCCGTGACTCATCCACATGGCTGACACTGACAAAAGATCTGCAAACTACGGTACAGGCTTACAGGATAAACCCTAAGGGTATTTGACTGACCTTATCAGATACAAAAGTTACATTTCTTGTTATATAGATCTTGCTTTATCGTGGTCTTAACCATCCAGCAGAAAAGTATAAAAACAAGGTATATAAAGTAAAGCCATACTAATATGCTGAGCTGTGAAAGGCTCAAGTCAAGAACTTCTGCAGATAACCCACAACTATTGTGGACTGCTGAACTGTGTTGGATTGTTTTGCTGAATTTATGCACCTATAGTATTTATTTATTTTTGGGTTTTTTTTAAATTATTTTTTATTTTAATTTTTTAATAGATTGCAAATTGAAAATAAATTATTTACAAACATAAATGTTGTAGGTTATGGGTCGGTGCCAAAAGAAACAACGAGAAGACCTGATGAATGTAGCTTCAGAGGTCTCACTGAGATTAGTCTCTTCTCCAAGTGAGCCCAGAGCCTGAGAAGCATCTCACATTTATTGAGGGGTGAAGGCAGACTAAGGAATGTGCATAATTACCTAAGTGAATACAAACTACTATCTCTATTGACTTCCACCATTTGCCTAACTATAGGTCCACACACAGGCTAGCAGATAACATCCCAAGCAAGGGATCAAAGGACAGAGCATCTGTAGAAGAAGCTGTTATCTGCTGCACTGGGTCCCAGCTTTCTGGGAATTTGCAAACAGACAGCAACCCTCCTCGGGCTCAGTCCAGTGTTCCCTACTCTCTTGGGACATCAGGCTTTTGTCTCAAAACTATGTCTGTACAATTCCCTGCTTTTGTTTTTAAGCTGAAAGTTTTGCAGCATCAGGGTGAGGACTGCAGATTTTTGGTCCATAGCTTGTTGCCGTACTCATCCTCATCACCAGACTAAGCAGGATATACAAACAATACAGAGACAACATAGACAAATCACTACTACACTTCTACTAAACCATGGAGCAACATGAAAAGGATTAAGGTTTTCAATGCCATTCGAGATGCTTTGTAACTGATCAGTGCCAGACAATTCTGACAATTGTTTTACAAAAGTATTATCAATATGTTACTGAAGAGACAGGATCTCAGAGGTAATATTACCACGATGCAATAGATGTCTTTTTACATTTTCCCTTGGGAAATGAGTCTGATTCCATGGAATTGGAGTTATACAGAATGAAGAGGTATTCCAATCACATTTTAAACGAAGTTGATGTTGTAGATTAACAATCTGATCTCCCAGCATAACAACAGCTTGTTCTAAATCATTTATCTTAGCATTTAACTCTGAGTCTATGTGTCCTTGAGAAGTCTGTAATTGTTTTGAGTCCTTGTGCCACTGCTGCAAAAGATGAACAGTTTGTACACCTTGGCTTAATGCTATTTTGGCTGTAGCAGCTGTGGGCTGTGATGGCTATTATTTTTAAAATTATGGCTATCACGAGTTTAATCATTTTTTTTTTGTTCTCTTCTTTAACACCTCCAGCAAATGTTGGAACAGCATCATGGAAGGGGAGTCTTGCTACAGGCGATGCAGTTGTACAGGAAGCCAAATTTTTATCTTTGCCCTGAGAATATAGATGCTATCCCTGGAAAAATTAAGGCTAATAGAAGAATTTAGACATGTATATAAAGAACAATGGTGACATGTGATGGTATAGTTAGAAGGGTTCCAATGACTAGGTCCTACAAGCAACAGGTAAGGGAGGTGAACACATGCCTGAGCAAAATGCGTTGTGTTCCTTTTAAATTTTAGATGTAAATTATTGGAGGATTGATTCCTCCATATATAACCTTTTCATGCTGACATATGATTTAGTAAGGTAACCAACTTCCAAAGATGATGCTGAATTGGTCCTCTAGAAACATGAGGGACACTAGGGAACATTCCTCCTCTATGCCACATTATTGTATCATTGGCATTTCTAGTGCTAGTATAGATCTCATCACTGCCATTCCGTTTTCATCTTAACTCCTTCTCTTCTGCTGTCTGGGCAGAGCCATAAGGGCTCCAATCTATGACGCTTCCATAGGAAGTGTTAACCAACACTCGGGCTGCTTTTTCTCTACAGACTTTCCAATGTACCCAATCACTGAGATAAGCAACATTGGTATTCTGGCAGGGTGGCAGATCTGGCGGTGGAAATGTTCCATCAGCAGCTATGCCTTTAATTTTTTTTTTTTTTGAGAAGAAAAAGTCCCTTTTTTCCTCCCTTACCCCCAGTATTATTATTTACTATAGATAACAAGACTTGTGTGCTTGCTTTTAAACAATGAGCTCCATTCCCAATACAAATAGGCCAGCCTTCTACTCCAATCTCATAAAATGGAATTTTGGTTTCTTCTTTTGTTGGCACTGCTGGTCCCCGGGCATCATAAGGGCCTGGAAGCCAGGAACTTATATGAACATATATGAGTATAGTAGCATCCCACCAGTGAACTCCTCTATTGAGTGGTGGATTTGGAATGTAAGCCCAATAACTAAAATTACCTTCAGGGCTGGTGAGATGGCTCAGTGGTCTAAAGCACCTACTTAGAACAAACTAAGCTTAGCAAAGCACAGGGACC